TTTTTGTGGTGTCTTTGCCTGGTTTTGGTATCAGGATTATGCTAGCTTCATAGAATGAATTCGGGAGTGTTGCTTTCTTTTCTGTGTTCTGAAATAGTTTAAGCAGTACTGGTATAAGCTCTTCTCTGGATGTTTGGTAGAATTCTCCAGTGAAGCTATCTGGGCCAGGGCTTTTTTTTGCTGGGAGTTTTCTTATTACTTTTTCAATCTCTTCTCTTGTTATGGGTCTGTTCAAATTTTCGACATCATTTTGTGTTAGTTTGGGTAGGCAATATGTGTTTCTGGAAATCTATCTCCTCCAGGTTTTCAAATTTATTGGAGTATAGTTTTTCATAGTACTCTGTTATGCTCCTTTTTATTTCAGTTGGGTCTGTTGTAACGTACCCCATTTCATTTCTTATTTGGGTTATTTGTGTCCTCTCCTGTTTTTCTTTTGTGGTTTGTCGATTTTGTTGATCCTTTCAAAGAACCAACTTTTGGTTTTGTTGATTCTTTCTATTGTTTTTCTATTCTCTATTTCATTTATTTCTGCTCTGATCTTTCTTCTGGTGGCTATAGGCTTCTTTTGCTGTTCTCTTTCTATTTGTTTGAGTTGTGTAGCTAATGTTTTGATTTTGTGTCTTTCTTCTTTTTTGCTGTGTGCATCTGTTGGTATAAATTGACCTCTGAACACTGTCTTTGCTGTGTCTGAAAGGTTTTGGTATGATATGTTTTCATTCTCATTTGATTCTAGGAATTTTTTCATTACATCTTTGATTTCTTCCATTACCCAGTGGTTTTTAAGCAGGATGTAATTCAATTTCCATGTATTTGATTTTGTTCCCTTGGTCTTCCTGTTATTAACTACTACTTTGATGGCATTGTGATCAGAGAAGATACTTTGTATTATCTCAATGTTTTGGATTTTGTTGAGGGTTGTTTTGTGGTCAAAGATGTGGTCTATTCTGGAGAATGTTCCATGTGTGTTGGAAAAGAACTTGTACTTTGCTGCTATTGGGTGGAGTGTCCTATATATGTCTATGAGCTCAAGTTGGTTGATTGTGACCTTTAGATCTTTGTGTCTTTGTTGAGTTTCTTTCTAGATGTTCTGTCCTTTACTGACAGTGGTGTGTTGAAGTCTCCTACTATTATTGTGGAACTATCAATTTCTCTTTTCAGTGCTGTTAGAGTTTGTTTTATGTATTTTGGAGCACTGTCATTGGGTGTGCAGATATTTATTCTGGTTATGTCTTCATGGTGGATTGTCCCTTTAATCATTATATAATGCCCTTCTTTGTCCTTTATGGTGGATTTTGTTTTAAAGTCTATTTTATCTGAGATTAGTATTGCCACTCCTGCTCTTTTTTGGTAGCTGTTTGCTTGATATATTTTTTCCATCTTTTGATTTTTAATAAATTTATGTATTTGTTTCTAAGGTGTGTCTCTTGCAGACAGTGTATGGATGGGTCCTGTTTTTTTTAATCCATTCTGTCACTCTCTCTCTCTATGGGTGCATTTAAGCCACTTACTTTCAGTGTGATTACTGAAAGGTGTGAGTTTATTGCTATCATTCTGTAAGTGCTTTTTTTTTGTGGTACTGATGTTTTCTTTGTTCCTCTTACACTTCTGTGCTGAATTCCTTTTGTTTGTGTATTTTTTTGTTTGTTTGTTTCTTTCATTTTTATAGATTTTGTGTTTACTGAGACTTTGTTTTTCTTTCTTATTTTCATGATTGGTTTGTTAACTTTCTTTGTGATTACCTTGAAATTTACCCCATCTTCCTAAGTTTAAACGAGTCTTTTATTACTTGATAATGCTTTGATTTCCTCTCATTTGATAGTTCTGTACCTACACCGTTTATTCCCTCTTTTATTGTTCTGATGTTGTCATTTACAGATTGACATCTTCGGTTCCCTGTTGTAAATTTTTTAGTTTTGTTTTATCCTTGAGAGTTCATTATCTAGGTTGGTATCTGGTTGACGCTGTCTTATGTGCTGGATTCAGGTTGTTGTCTGATGTTTTGGTTCTCACTGAAGGTTTGATTTTTGATTTTGTTTTTATGTATTCCCTTCTGGTATGGGCCCTCCACTCCATAGCTCTCCTTGTTCTCCATTCTCTGTCAGTTTCTCATTCCATTCGGTGTTTGATCGAGTTCTTTACTCCTTCATTTGGTACTTAGGGTTCCAGGACTGACATTTGTATCTGTTTTACTTAGTTTTTTGGGTCTTTACTGCAGAGGGATGGCATGGTGCTTCTGTCTATAGCGCCATGTTGGCTCTGCCTTGAAGGTGTTTTTTTAGATGTGATTAACATTTAAATCAGTTGACTTTACATAAAGGAGACCACTCTTGGTAATGTGGGGGCGGGGGGCCTCATTCAATCAGTTGAAGGCATTAAGAGCAACAACTGAGGTTTTCCTGAAGAGGAAGGAATTTTGTCTCAAGACTATAACATAGAAATCCTGCCTGAATTTCTACCTGCCAGCCTGCCCTACGTATGTTAAACTCAAAACTTCAATATCAACTCTTGCTTGAGTTTCCAGCCTGCTTCTCTGTCCTACAGATTTTGAACTTGCCAGCCTCCATAATTACATGAGCCAATTACTTAAAATAAATCTCTTTATATTATGTATGTGTGTATGTATGTATATATATTTGTGTGTATATATGTGTACATATGTGTATATGTGTGTGTATATATGTATGAATATGTGTATGTATATACATACATACACACACACATATATACACACATATACATATATTATCCTGTTGGTTCTGTTTCTCTGGAGACTCTTGATTGATATAGTCTGCAATTTTCCTGGAAGGGCATTAAGGATGATGGTGATGATAGCATATCCCATGATGCCTTCTTGGAAACTGAATGCAAGACTGGAGGAAACAATAGATAATTCTCAGATCTTCAAATTCCCAAAGACAATTAATGTGGGTAGTCGGTAAAGCTGATGAAGTATTGGGCTTGGTCTGTGACATGTGAAGACGTACCTCTTCAGGCTTCAGCTAGGAAGGACTGTCAGATAGGTACCTAAATATAATTTTCTCAGACTTGCTTGGTGAGATTCTGAAGTACATATATTGGAAGAGATTATGAAGAGGGAAAAGTGGTGAATACGGATTGCTGTAGTTAATTACTGAAGCATAAAATTGAAAAGAGGTATTAACTTGTCAAGAAGGTGTAAATGAAAAGACAAAAAGATAGATTTCACAAGAACAGCCTGGGTGTGTGTTTCAGGGAGCCAGGATGGCAGGTGAGACAGGTCACAGGAGAATGATAAAACTGCCACCTTCATGGAACTGGCATTCACAGAGGCATGACTGAGTACTGAGCCACATCTGTCCAATGCACGTGAGCACAAGGTCACAAAGGAGCAGGCGAAATATTAGAGAAGAAATCCATATGGTGGCCACCATATAAAAAGTGTTCAAGGATTTCAGAACAGGAGAACTGTACGGTGTTCACAGAGAAATGTAAAGCAAGGTCAGAATGGTAATCATGGAGAAGAGTGGAGGAAACAAATATTAGGGAGCAAGCAGCAACTTTTGATGCAGCTATTTTGATGAAATGAAGAATGTGGTCATACATAGGCTGTATCTCACTCCAATCCTCTTCCCCTTTGACTGGGAAGGCCTTTTGTGTGGGTACAATTGGATAAACAATCTGGTGACCCTGTCTCCACCTCACCCTTGAGTCTCATCTGGGCTCCAAACCTCATCCCACTTTATCACTTTCTCTCCCCTACTCTGGGGTTAGGAAGGAGGGATGGATGGGACTGGTTAGGCAGCATCTGGCTGACCATCTATCTTTAACCCTTTACCTCACTAACTCATCTCATAAAGGGCCATAAATCATTCGAGCCCAAGTCTCTGCTCATTCTCTTAGAATCTGGTTGACTCCTAACCAAGTTATATCTCAGACTCTCTAATTTCTCTCTCTTAAAGTTATGATCACACTCATTTGTTTTTGATTAATGAATTATGTGACTATTTAATAACAGGATTTCTTCTTCCATTAGAAAATATAAAGGATGGATACCTGTGCTTTTTGTAGGATTCCTGGTCAGGCTAAATGCCAATGAAGCATTTAATACACACTAGGTGTGGGAGGTGGAGAGGGTATTTGGACTACAATAAGGTTCCTAATTTGTTCTTCAGGTGGCACAGGGAATCCTCACCTAAGTTTCTGACAATTTTCTCAAGTAAAGCCAAATCTCATATTATACAAAGGAACAGAGTGGTTGTAAAACCAGCAAGTAAGATGAAATTAAGTACAAAAATATCTCTGAAAATCTCTTAAATTACCCATAAAGTGTAGTATACGCTGTTTTGTGTGTGCTACCCTGTATGGTAATTCTTATGTATACTAAATTTGAGAACTACTGAGCAAGATTAAAGGAAAGATTACAGGAAAAGTCCCATAGTCTTTGGTCTGTCTCATTGCTACAAGCCCAGCATGAAAAGCATATAAATAATACTGATACCCAGAGGAAAAGCCCACTCATCACTAGCCCAAGAGAAGGAAACTCCTAGGCAAAGAATAGAGTTCCTAGGTCTGAAGAGAATGTGAGAGCAATCCATCACCACAATCAGACTTACAGAATCCAGCTCTGAAAACGAGCCTTTTGTCGCTATACCAGAGGCCTCTTTCCAGATGTGTCAGTATTGAATGTCTTTTCTATATTCTGCAGTTACTTTAGGTTTAAAAAACCCATGGACCTGGAGATATTTTCATGAGCCTATGTAATTTCCATTAGCCCAACTCACCTGGACACTCCTACTAAGTCTGAATCACCTCTGTGCCTTCCTAGGTAACATTGGCCTAGAAAGACAAGCTTACATGTGTGCATACACAATCAATTCCAAAATTCCCATCCAAAAGAACAGATACACTCTAGCATTTATTTAAAAAAGTTGTCTAATTTCTCTAAGACCCAGGCCTGATTTAAATATTTATATGCAAGGCTTTGGATATATGGTATGCTCTAATGCACAGGACCAGGTTACCTGGTTAGGATCAGGATCAACTTCATCCCAGTTGTGAGTGACATGGCCTTGGTCAATAGATTCAAAGGGCTTGTGAGAAACTGAGGGCAGGATCCTATACAGCCAGCTGTGGGAAAACAAGAACACATAAGCGTTAGAATGATGTTGTAAGTGACGCACAGACTGGCTCAGGAAGGACCATCGGGAAGACGTTCAAGTCAACAACTACCTGAGGGCTCTAAAGTGAGAAGCAACGACACAAGCATCACCTCTTAATGACCATGGCTGCCTATAGCCCTGGACTCTTCCCACCTTTCCACTCCACCCATCACCCTTCAAACGGGAGCTCTGGCTCTTGGCTATTCACCTGCTGACAAAAAATGAACAATTGTCTTTTCCACCAACAACTTTAAAGGAAGGGGAAATATCTCGGGGGGAATACCTGTGTCAGAAAGACCATAGAAACACATTAGCTTACAGATCAGAGGATGGTACTCCTTGATCTGAAGGTGAGGACAATGAATTCTATGTAGATTAAAATAATTCTGTTTTTTTTTTGTTGTTGTTGTTGTTAGTTTTAAAATATAAATTAAGTTTCCTTTTTTAAATTATAAAAGTAAGCATGACAGTGGTAAATAATTCAAGTAATTAAAAAGTCCTGAAGATAAACATCTCCTCTCCTCCAATGTCCTCAGAGTTATTCCTTGGAGGCATTAGAGTTTAAGAGTTTCCTTGTAAATCCTCTTAGATATCTCCAATGCATATAAAAGCAAAACTGCCAAATCATTGTAAACAGTTTATCTCCCACCAGCAATGTGTGAGAGTGCCTGATCACGCACACGTCACAAATATCCACCACCACCAGTTGTCCTTGGGTCAACTCAGTCTGATGGCGACCCCACATATGTCAGAATAGAACTGACTCCATAGAGTTTTCAAGCGCTGATTTTTCAGAAGTAGATTGCTAGGCCTTTCTTCAGAGGTACCTTTGGGTAGACTTAAACCTCTAACCTTTGGGTTAGCAGTCAAATGCATTAACTGTTTGCACCACCCTGAGAATCCTAAAAAATAATATATCTCATTTTTATTTTCTATTACTTTTATTATGAGTAAGGTTGAGAATCTTTTCATTTGTTTATTGGCCCTTTGCAATTTTTCTATGAATTACTTGTACGAGTTTCTTGCCCTTTTCCTATTGGGTTGTCTTTTTGTTATTAATTTGTAAGAGGTTTAGAAAATTAACACTTCTGTACTCCAAAATTATAAGCGCATGTGACCGTATTTTCTTATAGCACATTTATGATTTTTTAAAAAATATTACGATCTGTACTTGTCATGGCCTGAGTCAAAGGTCCTTGCCAGGACCCCAATCCCAGGTTTCAGGAAGGAAAAAACTCAAGGAGGAAGCCTCCAATGAAGGACCTGCAAGATATAAGGGGGAGGAACCTCCAGATGTCGAGAGGGATACTGAGACTAACTAAGTGGGACCCAAGTCCTTCCAGAAGCCATTACCCTGACAGGGTCCAGAAGGAAGAAGGACACTGCTTCTGTCAATGGGAGACCAGACCTGGTTTAACAGGCTTTTGGGCTTTGACCAGTTAAGCCCAAGGACAGTCTATCTCAGAGGGTGGAGTTGACCTGGCCCAATACTGAGTCAATTGAAGGTGTCAGAGAGTTAGATTTGTTCCGCTTCCATTTGATTCCTCCAGCTCTCGATGATGTGACCTCAAATCTTTGACTTTAGGCCAAGAATAAATGAAGTCTCTCCAGCTTCCTGTAGTATATGGGGTTGAGAGGATGTGTGTGTATCATAGAACCAGTTGTGCGAACCTGGGTAAGCTAATAAACATTCTTGATTCTTGATCCATGCGTTCCTTGTCCCTTTCTCCTAGAATTGTTTGAGGACTCAGAGAGTTTACGCAGCAGGGGCTCATGCATTAGATGCTAGTGGAATTGTCTGTCCCCTCCTAATCATTTGAGTTTTTGTCATGGTCTAGACTTTCCACCTGACTCTCTGACCTGACTCTCACCTTTGATTCTCACCTCCAAGGGATCAAGCCAACTAATTACAATAAAAATTAATCCCTGATAGAAGACAGTTTTGTGGTGGCCTTCCCCTCTGAGCAGTAGCTAACTGCCAGAATTTCAGGCTGGCCTACCTATGGACAGGTGTGGTCCCATTTTCCCACTGGGGATTTTGAGCATTTTCACAAACTTCTTGTGGACACTTTTAGAGAGTTCTAAACAGATGGGTGAGCCATGCCTAGTGTCCCTTGTTTTTTAGCTGAGTCTATAAATCTCCCCAGGCAATACTACATTGCCCTGGACAGAGATTTAATTCTGATTCAGGGAACAGTGCCAGTTTTTTAATGAAATGCCAACAGCTCCTTTTCAGCCTCCTGGAACAGAGCTCAGCTCCTGCTGGCTGAAGATATTGCTGAATAATGGCGGCAGGCAGCAGAATTCAGAGTCCAGGTGTCCCGTTAGTGAATGGGCCATAAAGTCAAGAGCATAGTCATGGAACCCAGGTTATCATAAATTATAATAGACAGGAGTTGTCTTATCTGTGTGCTTACTTTACCTTGACTATTTAGACTTGCAGAATTAACCCCTGATTTTTGATATGTATGGGACGCTATCTCTTTCTCCCTCCCTCCATGCACATGTCTATTGGGAGAGAAGAAATACTGATATTGACATTATAACACAGCTCTTGCCATATGTTACTCAGCTCTCAGATAGCTTCCTAGGGTTACCCTAGCATTGAGGCAGAACTTTGGCTAGGATGGCAACAATGATGATGATTATAATAACAACTCACAATATGGAATACTCACCATGTGCCAGGCAGTGTGCTGAGAACTTTGCATGCTTTTTTCTTTTTTTTATTGTTGTTGAAAGTGTACACAGCAAAGCATACACCAATTCAACAATTTCTACATGTACAATTCAGCGACAATGGTTACATTAATCAAGTTGTGCAAACTTTCTCACTCTCCTTTCCTGAATAGTTCTTCCCCCATTAACATGAACTCACTGTCCCCTAAGCTTCCTATCTAACCTTTTGACTTGCTATTGTCAATTCGATCCCATAAAGATAGTTCTTCAAACAACACAATATTCAATCAGACATTCTTTACTAAATAAGCAAATTTATTGTTTGGTTTAAAGAAGACTTTAGGGGATATTTTTGGTTTAAGGTTTAAAGATTATCTCAGGGCCACAGTTTTAGGGGTTCATTCAGCCTCAGTGGCACCTCTATTCTTTCTTTTAATCCTCACCACATCCATGAAGTAGGTACTATTATTGTCTCTATTTTACAAATGAGAACCAGAGGCCCTGAGAGTGTAGATGAGCTGCCCAAGGTCACACAGAAAGAGAAGGAGCCAAGATTTAAATCCAAGGAGCCTGACACTAAAGTGTGCATGATTAACCACTAAAGGAAAGAATCTTTTTCATTTGTGGTCCATCCTGCTATTATACTCACTATCTCAAGGAGATAAACCCAGACCCACCTACTAAGCAGCACAAGACCACTGACCCTCCTCCCCAAGTCCCCGGTGGCAGCAGCAGCCCTCTTCACAGATGGCCTAGACTGAAATTTATACAATCAGACACTGTTTGTTTAAATCACAACACCTACTGCATCCAACCTGCCCCACAGGAGCTAATCAAGGGAGCAAGTTCACTGGCCTGGCTTGTAGGATTACAGCAAACATGGAACATGACAAACTGTCCTAATGAATGTGCTGGTTTTCCAGCAAAGGCACATTCCAGGGAGGAAAAACCTTACTAATTCAAACCACAAGGGGTCTTAATACCTGACCTTTCAACTACCCAAGCTTGGATTATCCAATATTTGCATGCAAAGCACGTGATGCCTCCAGTCAGCTGAGGAAGATATTGCTATGAATCTTCTATAATTTGAGTTAATCATTATAAAAAAAAAATGAGTAAATGAAAAGCCAACAGTCAACTGGACAATCCTTAGAGCAGGGACAGACTATTAGAAACATTTTTTCCTGTGTATAGGTGGGAATTTGTGAATGGAACTGACCATACACATTTTCCAGGCCATGTGAAGCTGTTTCCTCAACTTTCTTCTGCCAGTCACTTGATTTTAGCTGGGGACGAGGGCCACAGAGGTGCCTTTCTCTCCGTTTTCCCAGCTTCCCCTGACTATGGCCCCAGAACAGAGCGTATGAGAAGCAAGATCTCGGGCAGCCCTGGGAGACTACAGCCCAGCTGCAGGAGGCAGGCACTAAGTCCTGGTCATCGCTCCACAGTCTGCAGGTGAGAATTAATCTAATCGTTGTACCTTCTCTTGTTGGAGCTCCGTGGACAAGTGAAAGCCGATCCTGAGAGCTGCTCAGCATACAAGTTGTAGGGGCAGACCTGAGGACTATTCTAAAACAAAGGAGGCAATAAAGCACGTCACTCCCAATAGAACACCATCCACATCTCCACAAAGCATCTCAGTGGGGGAATCCGTCTTGGATGGGGATGCTCTGGGTCACTGTAGCCGTGATGCCCCGTGCATTGGTGTTGGGGCACTGCAACAAGGGGCCATGTCAAGAGCCCCTTGAAGTGAGAGGCCCCACACAAGAAAGAAGTCAGCTGCTCATCCTCTGGATGCAAGTATCCCCAGCCCATATATACTACTTTTTTTTTTTTTAAATGATAGTTCATTGAGTTTCTGGTGAAAGTTTACACAGCAAGTTAAGTTCCCATTTGATAATTTCCACACAAGTTATTCAGTGACGTTAGTAACATTTATCACAATGTGTCCACGTTCTCTTTAATTGTGTTCTGTTTGTTCTATTTCCAGTACTCTAGTTTCCCTGCCCCCTTATCTCTTCATCTTTGCTTTTGGGTAATTGTTGACCTTTAGGTCTCATACTGATGGTTTTTAAATAGAGCACTGATCTTACGGATAATATCCTTTATTTTGTGTGCCACTCTGCTATTTTGCTAAAAGGTGATCTCAGGGGTTAGGCATGATTCTAGGTTTAAAGAATGTCTCAGAGTGATAGTCTCAGGGAGTCCTCTGTTCTCTACTCTTCTAGTTTGTCTGGATTTTTTTTTTTATTATTAGAATTTGAGTTCTGCTCCATATTTTTCTCCCATTCTATCTGGGACCAACTATTGTGACCCTGGTCAGAACAGTCAGTGGTGGTAGCCAGTCACCATCTAGTTCTCTGGTCTCAGGTTAGATGAGGTTGTGGCTCATGTAGACTTGTTTCTTCTCTGAGCTTTTGGTTGCCTTCTTACTACTTTCTCCTGGCGAGTAGATACCTATGGTTATGTCTAAAATGGCTGCTCACAAGCTTTTAAGACCCCAGATGCTACTTACTTCACTAGGATGCAGATCATGATTTTTTTGCGAACTATGCTATGCCAGTTGACATGAGACTATGGTCCTAAGCTTTCAAACCCAGAAAACCAATCTGGGAAGGTGTTTGGTTATGTCTGAGGAGTATCTGTATTTGTGTCTTCAATGAATATATGTGCCCACACACACATATTTGTATTTACACATAACTATAGAAAGACACTTCAGGAAACCCTGCTGGCAGAATGGTTAAGAACTACAGCTGCTAACCAAAAGGTCAGCAGTTCGAATCCACCAGGTACTCCTTGAAAACCCTATGGGGCAGTTCTACTCTAACCTATAGGGTCGCTGTGAGTTGGAATCGACTCAGTGGCAACAAGTTTTATAGATACTTCTGGAGCCCTGCAGTAGTTAAGAGCTCAGCTGCTAACCAAAAGGTCGGCAGTTCGAATCCACCAGCTGCTCCCTGGAAACATTATGTGTCAGTTCTGCTCTGTCCTGTAGTGTTGCTATGAGTCAGAATCGATTCAATGGCAACAGGTTTTTTTTTTCATACATATATATTATTTTTTAAAGAACAATAGTCTCAAGGGTTCCCCTAGTCTGTATTGGTCCAGTAGATCTGGCTTTTTTTTAGGAATTTGGGTTTTGTTCTACAGTTTTCTCCCATACTGGATAGAATGTGACCCTGGTCAGAAGGGTCAGTAGTGGTAGCCAGTCACTATCTAGTTCTTCTGGTCTCAGGGTAGATGAGGCTGTGGCTTGTGTAGACTTGTTTCTTCTCTGAGCTTTTGGTTACTGTCATGGATTGAATTGTGTTCCCCAAAAATATCTGTCAGCTTGGCTAGGTCATGATTCCCCATATTGTATGATTGTCTACCATTTTATCATCTGATATGATTTCCCTATGTGTTGTAAATGCTATCACTATGATGTAATAAGATGGATTAGCGGCAGTTATATTGATGAGGTCTATAAGATTAGATAGTGTCTTAAGTCAATCTCTTTTGAGATATAAAAGACAGAAGGGGGCAGAGAGACATGGGAACCTCGTACCACCAAGAAAGCAGCACCGGGAGCAGAGCATGCCCTTTGGACCTGAGTTTCCTATGCTGAGATGCTCCCAGACGGAGGAAAGATTGATGACAAGGACCTTCCTCTGGAGCCAATAGAGAGAGAACGACTTCCCCTGGAGCTGGCACCCTGAATTTGGGCTTGTAGCCTACTAGGCTGTGAGAGAATAAATTTCTCTTTGTTAAAGCCATCCACTTGTGGTATTTCTGTTATAGCAGCACTAGCTGAATAAGACAGTTACCTTTTTACTGTTTTGCTCCAAAAAAGCAGAGACCCAGAGTTGTGTCTTAGATGGCCTCTCACAAGCTTTTAAGACTCCAGGTGCTACTCACTTCATTCGGATGCAGATCATGATTTTTGTGAACTATATTATACCAATTGACTGAGTTGTCCCATGAGACTATGTTCCTAAGCCTTTAAACCCAGCAAACCAATCTTGGAAGTTGTTTAGTTATGTTTAAGGAGTATCTGTACGATAAACACTTCTTGTAGTAACTTTGTAGGTGACTTATTTTCTCTCATTATAAAAGTGATACTTGCTTATTATAGAAAATTTACAGAATATGTATGTATCTCATCACCCAGAAATAATCCAATGCTAACATGTTGGTGTATTTCCTTCCACTCTTATTCCACCCCAGCCCCCAAATGGGGATCCTATGATAACATATAGTCCTGTAATTAGGCCTTTTTGTTTTGTTTTGTTTAAGGAAACACTATATCATGTACATTTTTTCATGCCTTGAATTATTCTTCAAACAATGTTGAAAAAACTTTGTTTGCTATATTTTTGCTGTTGTAACCAACACTAGTATGAACATCTTTGTGCATACATTGTTTAAGAATCTGATTATTTTCTTATCACTGTTGTATCTTATGCTGTTAAAGAGAATTACAAGGAAGCCCCCTTAGCCCTGGAGCTTGGGAATTCTCTTGGAAGTCCTATAGCTATTTTGGGTTTAGTGTTTTAGCCACAAGTAATCACCAATCCATCTTTAACCTTTGTATTGTCATTGGCCTGTATCCCAATTGTCTTAATGGCTTGCTTAAACTCCTAGACAGTTCACAGGCTAAATTATAAGAGCCATGGTGCGTGGAGGTGCTTTGGCCTGATGGTTAGTCATTCAGGCCTATGATTCGGAGCTCTATAAACTAGCATTCTATTACTCATACCTGTCCTTCTGGCAGGGCACCCGGGCAGCGAGGGTCCTCTGAGGCACACTCATTTCCGAATCCTGAAATGTACTGCATGTGACAAAAACACAAATGCCACCCGATTAATGAGATTTAAGGAATGTTTCACAACTCTGGTAGTCTATGAAGGCAAGAATTTCTATATGGACATGTGTTTGTGTATGATGTCCCATACACAACATCTGTGCCATGTCTTGGCATATGAACCATCTAGGAAAGACAACATGCTCTGTGGGAATTTAAAACATTGCCTGTTAATCAGCAGAAGAGTGTTGGATATTGCATAGACTTCTTCATCCTTAGCTGTACTTGGTCGATCTATGGGCTTTTTCTTAATTACCCACCGCAGGAACAGGTTCTTTAATTCTGGTTGCATTGGAGTGCCTGGGGTTGGGGGGAGGCTCAGGAACCACCTCAAGTCCAAATTAGTAGAATCTTCCTGGGCCTAAGTTGCAACCTCCCTGAGCTTGAGACTCCACTCTCCCTCCATATTCTGAAACAAGCAACTACGAAGAGGCTTATGGATCCAACCTGACAGAAAAACCGTTGAGAGAAAGCTCTCCAAACTTGCCTGGCTGTAGGCAGAAGCCTATCTTATCTGGCTCATCTGTGGAGTGCTTGTATATATACTAGCATTTGTATGGATACATGAAAACAAAGGTGTCTGAAGATATGAGTGGCTTTCCAAGCAAGTGTCAGCCTAGAATCTGTACACATGGCACAATGGAATCTACTCTGATTGCCATTTCTTTAGTCTACACCCAGAGAAAAACAAGTAAGGGGGTTGCTCAACAAGGTAAATTATGAGGATCCTCTGAAACTCATCCTTGCACAATTAACACACCTTAACAGTGAGTTCTTATTCTTTCTCTGGCTTCTCTAGGGGCCTATAAGCTCCATGAAGACTGGGACCATTGCAATCTTGTTTCCCACTATGTGCCCTGTACCTGACCCATAGAAGGTACTCAGTAGATATGCTAATGGATTTAGAGCCAATTCCAATATGAGTGTATGTAAGCTGCTGTAAGTGGGGCTTGAATCCCATTTTCTTGAGCTTATGTAATTATCTCTCTCTTTTTCTCTCACATAAAACTCACAATCATTTTCTCCTTATTTAAATTAAAAAAAAAAAAAAGACAAAAAACCCAGCTGCCAAGTTGACTCTGATTCATGGCAACCCCATGTGTGTCAGAGCAGAACTGTGTTCCAAATGGTTTCCAGTGACCAATTTTTTGGAAGTAGATCACTAAGTTGTTCTTCCAAGGTGCCTCTGAGTGGATTTGAACCACCAACCTTTCAGTTAGTAGCCGAAGGCTTAACCATTTGCACCACCCAGGGACTTGTTATCTCACTACAGTTGTTCCTAACAGCTGTTTGAGGTACTATTCAAACGGAAACACAGCGCAGAATGATGGGAATACAGCCTCCTTCAGTGAGTGACATGCCACCATCTGAACACGTCTTTAAGAGATGTAAGAAGGATGGAAATGGGTGGAGGGTCGGTGCTCCGGGCTTCTCAGCAGCATGGAGAAGGATGAGCTTGATGTACATGCCTGGATGCGGGAGTGACGATCAGGCAAATCGCTGTCTATGTTTGGAAGGAATATCAAATGTGAAGTGTTCTGACCTAGAAAACAACGGAAGAGAAATGATTCTTTTTGCCTTCAGACACAATTTCTTATATATCTGAAAATCTATCAGCACAAAAGCCATGGAGTTATATTACATACAGATTGGTTAACAGCAGCAGCATGCAGTTTCAGATGATTTCTTTGGGGAAATAGCAGAGAACATCCAGCATTCTGACCTTCCATTGAATACAATTTTCTTCTCTCAAGATGAACCTCATCCTCACCATCAACAGGATTGAATTTGAGCTGCTGAGAAATGGTAATGACCCAAAATTATATTAAGTTCTGTGAAATGGAATTTTAGGCCAGTCCACGACAGGAGCCACTGCGGATTTACAGTGCCTTCACTTTGTTCATCTGCCCTGTTGTTTCCTTCTGCAAGAGAGGAAGGAAGGTTTGAGTGCTGCTGAATAAGGCTGAGCTTTCTGACGGGTCTGGGTGAGTTTACTCATTAACCTTCCCCGTTCTTTGAGATGGCTGGCCTCAGAACAAAGTCCAGGGCTAGATGTGTGTTTGGAAGAAGGAAAAGAGACTTCATCTGTATGGTTTTGAAGCATGTGACTCAGACTGTGCTTTAAAAAATAGAAAAGAAAGTAGAAAGAACAACTGGTGTTTTGGAAGGGAGCCACCCAGCACTGGGAGAAGTGTGAGTTTCGAATCGGTTTCTTGATCTTAGCTGCAGTGCATTGGCTGAAGAGGAGGGCGGAAACTGCTGAGTCACTATCAACTCAGTTGATTTTCCTAATCTCCTGAGAGAAAAATTACAGATGAGTTTGTTAGAGTTTTAAAATGCCGTGGCCCTCACAGATGAAAGTATCTGAACGGAGGAAGCAGTATTCTGCAACTGACTTTGTGAGGCTTTGAGCTCTAGAACCTTCAACTCTAGTTCAGTGACTGTGTAAAAATAAACTCATACAAAAAGATAGGTAAAAAATAACATTAAGCAAGTGTGTTTGTATATTTTCTTCAGAGCAGATTTCTGAATAATTTGATCCAACATAAAAGCATGATTTCATTTCCTTCCAAGAGAGGATTATATGCACACTTTCTAAATGAAGGAACAAATGACTGAGCTGCATGTGACTTCAGAACCATCAGTTCTTCCGCAACTCATTAGTATTTCATTCTCACTTGGTCCCCAGGATAGGATTTATTTGTCAGAGTGGTTTTCTCAGGTGATTTCTCCTGACTCTGATTCTAGGCAACACCCTGATGGGATGAGCAGATGGTGTACCTCACTTCCTCTTTTTATGTTATTGAGTTTTTGGTGAAAGTTTACACAGCAAGTTAGGATCCCATTTGATAATTTCCACATAAATTATTCAGTGACATTAGTAACATTTATCACAATGTGTCCACGTTCTCTTTAATTGTGTTCTGTTTGTTTCATTTCCAGTACTCTAGTTTCCCTGCCCCCTTATCTTCTCGTCTTTGCTTTTGAGTAATTGTTGACTTGTTGGTCTCATACTGATGGTTTTTAAGTAGAGCACCCATCTTATAGGTAATATCCTTTATTTTGTGTGCCACTCGGCTAATGGGTGATCTCAGGGGACCCGCTCAGTTCTAGGTTTAAAGAGTGTCTTAGGGCAATAGTCTCAGGGAGTCCTCTGTTCTCTACTGTTCCAGTTTGTCTGGCTTATTTTTTTTTAAAGAATTTGAGTTCTGCTTCATATTTTTCTCCCATTCTATCCAGGACCATCTATTGTGACCCTGGTCAGAATGGTCAGTGGTGGTAGCCAGTCACCATCTAGTTCTTCTGGTCTCAGAGTAGATGAGGTTGTGTGGCTCATATAGACTTGTTTCTTCTCTGAACTTTTGATTACCTTCTTACTGTTTTGCTCCTGGTGAGCAGAGACCCATAGTTGTGTCTTAGATGGCTTTTAAGACCCCAGATGCTACTCACTTCACTAGGATGCAGAACATGATTTTTGTGAACTCTGTTATACCAACTGACTGAGCTGTCTCATGAGACTGTGGTCCTAAGCTTTCAAATATAGAAAACCAATCTTGGAAGGTGTTTGGTTATGTCTGTGGAGTACCCCTATTTGTGTCTTCAATGAACATATGTGCCTACAACCACATATTTGTATACTAATTAAGAGTTTGGCTGTAGCCCTAGTGGTGTAGTGGTTAAGAGCTCGTCTACTAGTCAAAGGTCAGCAGTTCGACTCCACCAGCCACTCCTTGGAAGCCTAGGGGGCCGTTCACTCTATTCTATAGGGTCGCTATGAGTCAGAATCGACTCGACAGCAATGGGTTTGGTTTTGGTAAAAGCTCGGCTGGGCCCTGGTGGCTCAGTGGTTAAGCATTTGGCTGATAACCAAAAGGTTGGCAGTTTGAATCCACCAGCCACTCTTTGGAAACCCTATGGTGCAGTTCTACTCAGTCCTGTAGGGTTGCTATGAGTTGGAATCCACTCGACAGCAATGGTTGTTTTTTTTTGGGGGGAGGATATAGATACTTCTGTTCTCACCTATGTACACACCTGTACCTACCTATATACCAATATGCCTATACCCATCCATATGTGCTCACTCGTTTTTACTTTGGTTTGCTGTGCTCACTACATCCATATTTTGCTGCCACTTTTTCCATAACCAAAAAAAATAGGAAGACTCTAAAGCGTACTTTCCATTCTCCCCTTCCTCTCCTTGGTAACCACCAGTGAACATTGGTTTCTCTATATATACCTATTCTTGTCTTCTTGTAAAAGAGGGATCATAGAATATTTGTCCTTATATGCTTGACTTATTTCACTTAGCATTATATCCTCCACGTCCATCTATGTTATGTTTCATGGTGTCTTAGTTTTCCAATGCTGCTGTAACAGAAATACCACAAGTGGCTGGCTTTAACAAACAGAAAATTATTCTCTCACAGTCTAGTAGGCTAGAAATCCAGATTCAGTGTGTCAGCTCCAGGGGAAGGCTTTCTCTGTTAGCTCTGGAGAAAGGTACTTGCCATCAATCTTCCCCTGGACTAGGAGCTTCTCAACGCGGGAACCTCGGGTCCAAAGGACGTGCTCTGCTGCCAGTACTGCTTTCTTGGTGGTCTGAGGTCCCCATGTCTCTCTGCCCGCTTCGCTCCTTTATATCTCAAAAGAGATTAGCTTAAGACACAATCTAATCTTGTAGATCTCATCAACATAACTGCCGCCGATCTATCTCATTAACATCACAGTGACAGGATTTACAACACATAGGGAAATCACATCAAATGACAGACAAAATGGGGGAAAATCATACAATACTGGGAATCATGACCTAGCCAAGTTGACAAATATTTTGGGGGGACACAATTCAGCCCATGACACACGGACTCATCATTGTTCTTTATGGTTGCATAGTATTCCATTGTATGTATGTACCACAGTTTGCTTATCCATTCATCCGTTTATGGGCACTTTAATTGTTTCCATTTATTTGCTATTGTGAATAAAGCAGCAAGGAACATAGGTGTGCATATGTCTGTTTGTGTCATTAGTTTTAGGTCTCTAGGGTATGTACCTAGGAGTGGGATTGCTGGATCATAGTGTAGTTCTATTTCTAGTTTTTTGAGAAAGCACCATACCGTTTTCCATAGTGGTTGTAGCATTTTAAGTCCCACCAATCAATGGATAAGGGTTTCAATCTCCCCACATCCTTGCCAACATTTGTTGTTATCTGTTTTGTTTTGTTTTTAATCAGTAAGCTGGGGTAAGATGATATCTCATAGTAGTTTTGATTTGCATCT